GAAGCCAGGACACACACCGATTCGAAAAAAAAACCCGCATTAAAAAGCCATGTGTGAACAGTATTATTAAATCAAACAAAAGAGATGTGATTACCTTCGTAGAACAGAGAGGTGGGCAACACCGCCACGAAGGGCCAACGTAAAAAAAGCACCAGGTCCATCTGTACCAAAGACTATGGAAAATACTGTGAATGCGGTCAGGTTTACCACCGGAGCTGGGTGCTATTGTCTGTTCGCCGTTTGATGTATGCATCACGTTTTTTGCGTTCTACCTCCTTGTTATTCCCCTTCCCGGACTTTCCTGCGGGCAAGGCACCCTTTCTTCTCCTCTCTACCCCTATCCCACATCTTACTCTCCTTTTTGAGTTCCCGGAGAACCCTAGATTGAGGGGCTAGTTCCTCTCCCCCCGTGCCCTCTTTCCTGAACCTCCATCGGCCGCCTGTCATTGAGAAGCGTGGTTCCAACACGGGGGCGATCCGTTTCCCCCGGACTAGGTCATGCAGGACCCTCATCTGGAGGACGGAGGTTCTGGACAGATGTAGAATACCTGGAACTTGGGAAGACATTTCGACACCCAGGCCCAGGGGCCGTCTTCAACGGCTCACCCTGGAGGATATCCCGGCGTGCGCCTCTCATCGGTAGCACAACGAAGAGGTCCTGTGCGGGGAGTTGGGACTATCTAAGACGGAGCTGGCCGTCCTATCTGAGGGAGGTTCGGTGTAACCCTGGTTTTCCTGCCGCAGCTAGAACCCTGTTCCGTCTCGCTTCAGCCCACGGCCCCTAGTATTACAACGACGGTTCAAGGGGGAATGTGCGGGGATGCAAGAAGGGCGGCGCGGCGCTGCATGGGAGCGTCCTGTGCTCGTTGCACTCTTGCGTTCCTCGAGCCACGCTGCCGCTCAGCTCCGCGAACGTTTCCCGTGGCAGCAATCTCTCGCACCACACCGGGTACACCTGCGGCCGGTGATCCGGGGCATCTTTTTCCCCCCAAGCCTGTTGCAGGCTCAGTAGAAACGCCCCGCCTACCAGACAGAGGGCCACGTGGTGATGCCAACCGGGCCAAGTGCGGGTCTCGTACTCGTCCAGCCCCACATCGCTCTGCTCAGTCTCGAACTCGGTCTCAATGCGCCACCTCGAGCCGCCCACATGAGCCAGAGTCTCCAGGGGAGTGTCCTCCGGAGCGTTGGACAGGTAGTAGCGCGGTTCGCTGCCGTCCAGATTCCGGCGATAGACGGCCCAGTGGATCTCGCCGGGCTTCCGCCGGCTGGTTGGCCTTACCCGCTGGGCGCTGAACCGGTAGCTGCGTGGACCCTGGCTACCCTCGGCCACCGTTATCTCCCGCCAGGCTGCTTCCAGGATTGCGGCGGCCCTCTCCGGCTCCTCAGGCCACACCGTAAAGCCCGCCGGAACGTCCAGTACGTAGCGCATCCCCAGGGCCGCCAGTCCCTCGCGGAAGGACGGCGACATCCCGAAGGCGTCGTCCCCAGCCACCCAGCCCGCCTGCAGATGGGCCCGCTGCAGCAGCTCCAGCGCCAACTCCGTCTTCGACCGGTAGCCCTGCCTCTCCTTCGGAACCCCCGCCTCCTCACACCGGTCTTGATCCGAGGTCCAGCTCTCCGGCAGGTACAACCCTTTGTCCACCAGGGTCCGACCCAACGGGCTGACGTAGGCCAGGAACATTCCGGCCTGGCAGTTGGCCACCTTGCCCAGCCGGCCGCAGTACTGACGGGCCACTCCCACCGACTTCACCCCCTGCTTGGGGAAATCGCTGCCGCCCAGCACCCACACCCCCTCCGGATGTCCAAGCCGGGGCGCCAGGTACTCTTAGAGCCGGCCCATCACCCCGTCGTCGTCCCAGGGGGATTCGGTGAGAAACCGCTGCATCGCTCTGGCTGACGCCGGTACCGTCTCCGACAGATTCTCGGCGTTGCGCCGCTCGCCGGACTGCACCAGCAGTGCCTGGAGATAATGGCGGCTGTGGTCCCGGGTCTCCCGGCGCCCAAACCGCGCAGCGAAGTAAGCGTGAAAATCCTGAAAGGTCCCGTACACCTGCTCGAAAGCCTCCGCATCCACTTCCCTACCTCACTTTCCCAAGCCTTACCAACTACCCGGTCATCCTATCCTATCATGCCATCCGTCGTTGTAATACTAGCGGGTTGGCCCTCTTGCGAGGTTGGGCCGTTCCCTGGATTTACGACATCGTACGGGCGCGTGTAGACTGGCTCCAAACCCAGCCACTGGACTAACGGCAATCCGTTGGTGAATAAGCGGAGCAGTTTCCCAATCTCCAAATTCTAGGAGGTCGAAGTTATGTACAACAAGGCAATGCTCAGCCTGGATCAGGCCCAGAACGCCATTGCGGCCATGATCGCCGATTTCAACCGGGACCCCGACCGTCGCAAGGTCGATATGGCCGTGGTGGACGATGCCGGAAACCTGCTGGCCTACGTCCGGATGGACCGTTGCTTGCGGCCCACCTTCGCCATTCGCAAGCCTACACCGCCGCGGTCACGCTCCATGGACACCGCCGCATCGCGGAGCAGCTCAGCGGCACGGGCAGTCGCTTGAGTCCTTCGGGATCCCCAGTTGATAGCTATACCGGGCGGAGTGGCCGTTTTCCCAGCGAGGGTGTGGTGGTCGGCGCCATCGGCGTGGGAGGCTTGCCTAGTCGGGTTTGACGACGAATCCTCATCGCCAAGGCAGGGTAGCGGCGTTGGGAATCTAACGAGCGAAGGGTTGCCGCAAGCCCGCGCACCACCCGGAGCATCCATCAGGGTTGAGCACGACCGTTTTCGGCAATCTTTCGACGCCGCGACGACGTCGGAACCCTCCTCCAATCACCGGGGCCATTTGCAGTCAGTCGATGTTCGATGTACATGGATTCAGCTGGTCAAGGCCAGCGTGAGCGTTACGGGCAGGCGCCCGCAAAATATGTCCGTGGCGGGGTTCAAGGAACGGGCCATCGAGAAACACGGTCGGTTTCCTGTTCGACTAGGCCACCGTCGCGACGATGGTACGGACGCCGGGCGCGGCGTCGGGCCGCCCGGTCCATTGACGCTCGCCGACGCTATTACCGCCAGCGCCGGGTACGCGGCAGAGAATGTGGTGGCCGATTTGTTGCCCCATTGTGTTGCTTTGCCTGGGTAAACAAGCGGACCTTCTACCGTAGGCCCACGGCAACGTAGCGCTGCTGTCGGTTGGGCGACTTTCTAGACGGGCCCATCAAGGATCCATTTCGGAGCTCGCTCGCCCGTAGCGTGTGAAATCGGGTGACCGGCATAAGAGGAGGTCGCTCATGGCTACGGAACTGCTGGCGGGGGTTACGGTTTTGGATTTCACTGCGGCGTTTGTGGGGCCGTTTTGCAGCCGGATCATGGCCGACATGGGCGCGGAGGTTATCAAGATCGAGCGGCCGGCGGCGGATCAGGACGAACGGTTCACGCCGGAGTCGCTGCCCACGCGAAACGGCGTGCCATATCTGCACCTGAACGGTGGGGAAGAAGAGCCTGTGCGTGGACCTGAAGACGGATGCTGGGTTGGAGATCGTGCGGGCGCTGGGATTGACGATTGGGAACTCCCTGCCCGCGTGGGCCGCACTCGGGATCGTTATATGGATCAGCCGTAAACGGAACTCACGGACGCCCATTGAATGCTGAGCCGTGGCATACTGCCTCGGCCTTGGGTTGCTCTCAACCCTCCTCGGCCACGGCCCACGGCTCAACTGAGGCTAATGGACAAATCTCGCTCATCTCGAATCACCGATGCTGAGAGCGCGTTCCACCACCCCACCCGAAGCGTTTGCCCCCGGTACGTGGAACCCATTGACACCAAGATTCGCTTCAGGGGCGGCCGGGTTGTCATGCGTAAGGATCAAGGAGGTGATCACGGCGCCTCCATTGACGATATGGTCGTGGCCGAACTGCAAGTAACCGAATCAACGCAGTAGCCGACATTCCTGCAGAAGGAGCGTTGGAAGGCGGTGCAGCGGGCCAAACTCGAGGGCATGTCCATTCTAGGGATGGCCAGGGAGTTGGGCATCCACAGAGACACGGTGGGGAGATACATCGATGCTGAAAGCCCGTCGACCGCGATTATCACACCCACCCGGCCACACTCACAAAATGGCTGCAGGGTTTCCCGACACCGTTTCGGATGCTACATTGATTGCATATGCTCTTCGCGAAGAACGACATTCCCAATCACACCCTGCATTGAGATGGCCCGGTCAACGACAAAAAGCCGTTCCTGACGAATTTCGCACGACGGCCTCCCGCTTCGGAGAGCCCACAACTACATCCCGAGAGAGGCCCGCGCACTACACCCCGTCCCAGGCAACGGTATTAATTGAAGTCCGTCACGAAACCACCGATGAGAATTAAATCATGATCCCACATCACGTGACCCAAGGTCCCTAAGAGACTATCTCCAAAACCGGCATGCTCTCCAAAAAGTCCGATCGCAGACAGGGTGAGTCGTGAATTCCCGCCGGCGCGGGAATGACGGGTTGGGCGGGCCGCCAGTTTTGAGATAGTTTCAAAACACAAACTGGAGTTAAGCAATGAACAATCGTGAGGAACTCAGGCGCAGGGTAATGAGATACGGGAGCGCCTTCAACACGGCGCTTTCCCCGGTGCGGGAGAGGCCCCGGGCGGTGGCCGCATCCCCGGCCTGAGAAACTATACCGCGGAGGCTATCTTCGGCGCGGTGTGGGCCCGTCCCGGCCTGGACATCCGCTACCGTATGCTTGCGACCCTGTCCGTCCTGACCTCGCTCCAGCGCCTTTCGCAGTTTCAGACGTACGTCCACAGTGCGCTGAACATGGGATTAGGCGCGGAGGAGATCCAGGAAGTACCAATCCATTGCTCCCTCTACGCCGGCTTCCCCTCGGCGGTAAACTCCCTGGAACTGGTGCATGAGGCATTCCGTGAGAGAGGCATCGAGCCGCCGCAGACAGAGGTGCCTGAACTCAGTCTTGAGGAGATGGAGGCGCGAGGGCGTGAGCTCAGGGAACAGCTCTTCGGCGACCTGGGACAGGAGGGTTACGCCAGCGCGTTGGTGGACCTTGCGCCGGACCTGCGAGTGCTCACCTACCAGTTCGGGTTTGGGGAGATCTTCTTCCGCCCCGGTCTGGACCTGAAATCCAGGGTGGTGTGCGCCACGGCCGCGCTGACGGCGCTGAAGGCCGATGGCCCGTTGCGGAACCTCCTGCGGGCCGGCCTTCGTGTGGGCCTCTCCAAGGAGGAAATGGTGGAGGTGCTGATCCAGACCGGAGGATACGCGGGCTATCCGGCGGCGTTGAACGCCATCTCCATAGCGGCCGAGGTCTGGAGTTGAGCCAACGGCGGCCCCGTCGATACGGTAGCTGTGGACCGTACGACGGCGGTTGCCGAATTAGCAGTAAGTAGGCCGGCGCCACTGAATCCCAACATCCCGGGCGGCGAAAAATCCTTGCCGCATTTGTCACTGCCCGGTGGTGACCTGTGGCACGAGGATACCGGGGGTTCTGGAACGGAGTGGTGCTGGAGTTTTTTGCGCGGAACCAGGAAACGATTTCAGAGCGGGATGTATCCGGTGGCGTCTGCAATTTGAAGGTTAAGGACGGTGGATTACCCCGGCGCGGGAATGACGGGCTGGACGGGCCGCCTGTTTTGAGATAATTTCCAAGTCGTGAAGATACGTAACCTATTGGTCCTGAGTTGGTGGAAGGACGAATCGGATTACATCAATGCAGCAGGTTGCGCTGAACCTCTTCCCAATTCCGCCTAGGAGGTTACCCCTATGCCCGAAGCCAGGTTGACCGTCGGCAACGTGGAAATCCTTTCCCTGAACGACAACGAAGCCACGCTGCCCCTTAGTGATGTCTTTCCCGAGGTTCCCGCCGAGGCGTGGGCTCCCTACCAGGAGCGCTATCCCAGCGGCTTCAGCGGCGACCACCTGCTGGCCCACTTCGAGTGCTACCTCATTCGTTCCGAGGGCCAGACCATCCTTGTGGACACCGGGCTCGGCGGCGCGGCCACCAATCCCAACTCAATTGAGGCCATGGTCGGCGGCGGCGAAGGCCGCCTCCTGCAGGAATTGGAAGCGGCCGGCGTCAGCACCACAGACGTCGACACTGTCTTCTTCAGCCACCTCCACTTCGACCACGTCGGCTGGAACGTCACCCACGAACCCGGCGCCCCAGTCCGCGCTACCTTCCCGAACGCCCGCTACGTGGCCCACCGCGCCGACTGGGAGGTCTTCCAACGCCCCGAGGTGATGGAACTCTTCCCGCCCCACTGGGACCAGACCCTTGGCCCCCTTCAGGATCTCGGCGTGCTGGACTTGCTGGACGGCGAGCGCCCATTGACCAGCGAAATCACCGCCATCCCCACCCCCGGCCATACCCCCGGGTCCATGAGCCTCGCCATCGTATCCGGCGGACAGCGAGCCTACATTCTCGGCGACGTTTTCCACGGCCCGGCCCAAATCACCGAAACCGACTGGAAGTTCAGCTTTGACATGGACGCCGACCAAGGAGTGGCCACCCGCACCGCCATGATCGAGCGAGCCGAGTCCGAGGACGCCATCATGGCCATCTGCCACCACGGTGGCTTCGGCCGCGTAGTCCGTGCCGAGGGTCGCCGTTACTGGCGCTTATTCTCCCAGGGCGAATAGACTATTGCTAACCCCAGATAACTGAGGCGACGAGATAGAGGGCTGAGAGGAAGTAGCTGCTTTTGGGGTCATAACGGGTGGCGATTTTGCGCCAATGTTTCAATTTGTTAAAGGCCAGTTCGATCGGTTTACGCTGACGGTACGGTTCCCGGTCGTACCCCCAAGGGTCCCTCCGGTTGGACTTGGGCGGTATGACCGCTTCGGCTCCCTGGTCCCTGATCAAGGCCAGTAGGCGGTTGCTTTAATACCCCTTGTCAGCGATGACCGCCCCGGTCTCGATACCGGTCAGCAGGGGCAGGCCCTGGGAAACATCCGCCCGCTGTCCGCCGGTGAGAGAGAAACGCACCGGCCGGCCCTGGGCATCAGCTACCAGATGAACCTCGGTGCTCAGTCCGCCGCGGGAGCGGCCCAGAGCCTCACGTTGGCCCCCCCTTTGTCGCAGACCGCCTGCTGATGGACCCCCACTATGGTGGAATCAATCATGACGTATCTGTCGCCCGAGTCCTTCGGGAGCACCTGGAAGATCCTTTCCTATAGCCCGGCCCTGGCCCAGCGGGTAAAGCGTTTGTGGGCGCTTTTCCAGTTGCCGTACTGGTCGGGGAGGTCTTCCCAACGAGCACCACCGTGCAGGACCCAAAGAACGCCATTGACGAACTTTCGATCGTCTTTAGCAGTCACGCCCACCGACCCGGGCCGTCCCGGCGGAAAGCCTTCCATCTACCGCCATTGGGATACACTGACTTCGTACCGCCCCATCATCGTCCTCCCCACCCCACTTCCTTGGTAAGTTTTACATCCTACCTCCCTCCTCGCCGCGGAGTCCACGTCGTCGTAGACACTGCCAGGTCCGGAGAAAACGATCAAAGCCGCGCCGGATGATCGGTGCGGCTCGTAGGACAATATGCCGCATTTTCGTGGCCCTAACACGCGACTATCTGGGTTGAGTTAGGCAGCCTCCCATCTCGGCAGACTCTGTCATGAATCTTTGCGAAAGTCCGAGCGGGATAATAAACCACCCGGCCAAAGAAGAGATGACGCGCAGCATTCGCGTCCGTGGCTCGAGCATCTCGGGAGCTTTCTTCGGTCTGCCGCTCGGGGGGTGGTCGGCGGTGCTTAGCCGGTTGGTGGCGGAGCGGTCCATCGGGGCACAGATGCCACCTTGGGAACGGTTCAGGGGATAGAGGAAGTGGGTGGAGAGGTCGGGACAATGGTGCGAAACGCGGTTATAGGGGCCGCCGAGGGCACGAGCCAAGGGGGAACGGTTAAGGCGGCGCCGGAGACTCTGCAGGGAGTCGGCGCGTCGCCATCGGAAATGGCGACGGTGGCTGAGGTAATGCCGGGGGTGGCTGCGGCCTAAGGAGATGTGGTCGCAACGCCTCAGGCGGCCACGCAGCTCACGCCTGCCCCCTTTGTTGAAGGGTTGAAAAGGGTCGGACTCTCCGGGTAAGGAACAGGTTACCGATCACCGTTCTTCCCGAGGAGGCCGGGCCCAACGTGCTAACACTCCATCGTGAGGGTCTTGAATTACGCGTTACCCCGGATGTGAGCTACCACACGCACCAACCCGACCTTGCTCACTGCCGGCATTCTCGACCGTCGTACCCTGGCCATCTCGGTGCAGGTGCGGGCTCGGCGTGTCCAGTTTCCCCATTCCCATTACCAGCGGCTGCTGTCGGCGGGCAAACCCAAGAAGGTCGCACTCACAGCATGTATGCGTAAGCTACTAAGCATACTCAACAGCATCCTGCGCAGCGGTCAGACCTGGAATCCACCGGCCTTTTACGTCTTGACCAACCAGACAACTGCTCATCACCCAACGCTACGAACGGAGGTCGTTAAGCATAACGTCGAACCTGGCCATCTCGGAGTGGCAACGCATCTTCGCCAACCCAATGGACACCGCCGCGGCAATCGACCGGGTGGTCCACCAATCAGTCATCCCGGAGTTTGACGTCCCCAGCTACCGCACCAACGCTGCCCAGCAACGGGGCCAGGCCGAGAAGGTGAACCGGCAAAACTGATTGACGCCGATCCGGCAAATGTGGTTGACGTGGGACACCTGGCGCCACACAGTAGGAGCCGGCAGTCTGGTATCGGTTGGAACAGGCAGTGCGGCCGCCGGAAATTGTAGTTGGGCGCCACGGCGTCGGAGTACTGGTATTCGGCAGCGTGGGCGCAGTGCGCGGGGAACGATCCTCGGTTGCCTGCCTGCCCAGCTCGGCTGGCAGGTCCCACCTGATGAATCGTTGGCGGACCCCCCGGTCGAACGGTGCGGCGGCGTCTAGCGGTCTGGCTCAGCGATGCCGGTCAATTGAGCCAGCGGGCGGGCCAGGTAGAGTTGGGCGTCGCCCTGGAACAGATGGAGTTGTATGAACTCCTGCATGGCCACGATCCTGACGCCGACGTCCCGGTCTTTCCGACGTTCGGCCGCGGCGCGGGCCGGCGCGACGATCAGAGTGGCGAACGCGGCAGCCATCTGATGGCGGGTGCCAGCCGGGGCGTCGCCCATGACCTGCTGGGCAGCGATGGCGAATTCGCGGCATCTGCTGTGGCCGTCATGGTGATTGGCGCCGGATCCCGGCGTGTGCTGTTCAGAATCGACATTGGCCATGAATTCGGCGGTCAGCGTCTGAATCTCAGCTTCGTTGGGGGGTGTAGTCGGGATAGCAACGCTGTGGGGCCGGGGTTGTTGTCTCCATCGATCCGATCAGTGCCGGTCGGTCCGTTGTCAGTCAAGGTTCAGGGCTTGCTGTAGCGCGGGCGGCGCAGACGATAATCACGGCGACCGGCCGCTCATTTCATTAAGCCGCCACTGGCTGATTGTGGCGCACTATGGCCTTCCTAATATCCAGTTGGGTTCCCACCAGGCTCAGACCGTGGTGGTCGTAAGTCCAGGTCGTCCCCTGGTAGAATTGGATGACTCCGGCGGATCGGTTGTTGATGAAAACGTTGGCCTTCCGGCCGTCGGTCACTCCGAATCGGATGCTTGGGATGTCCCTGAACACGGGTTTCCTCCTTGTTTGATTTGTCCTGATCGTGGTCGGTGCGGACAACTGCCTGCTGTCCTGACAACCGGGGCTGATCCCCGTTCCTGCCGGGCCCTGCAGAGCGCAGACCAGTGGCAAGGTGGTAAGCGGCGTCAACAACGTGCAGCGCCGCGCAACTCAAATGTAAGACTAGGTGATTTGAACTTGACGAGAGCCCACGGATAAAACGCTACCCGGAGCGACGGCAGCGCCGGTTCAATAGCTTTTCACGTGCCTACAATTACCCGGTTCTAATCAAACCTGAAGTGTCGCGGACACGGTTGGCGACCGGCGCTATAAACGCCGGGGCAGTCGCCGTGACCGCCCCGGCTGTAATTCCCGCTGGATTCAGTGGGACTAGAAATCCATCTGGGGGGCAGCCATCATGCCCGGCCCCGGCTCGGGGATTTCAGTAATCATGGACTCAGTGGTGAGCACCATGGCGGCCACGGACGCGGCATTCTGCAATGCGGAGCGCGTAACCTTTACCGGGTCGATGATGCCGCGCTCGAGCATGGGGCCGAATTCGCCCAGCTCGGCGTCGTAACCGTAGTCATCGGACTGATGCTTCACCTGGTCGAGCACCACTGCTCCCTCGGAAACCGGCATTCTCCACGATGAGTTTCAACGGCTGTTCGAGAGAGCGGCGAATTATGTTAACGCCCACCATCTCATCGACCGTCAATCCTTCGATGGAGTCCAGAGCCCGTTGGGCACGCACCAGAGCGACTCCGCCGCCAGGGACAATCCCTTCTTCCACGGCGGAACGGGTGGCCGACAGGGCGTCTTCCACCCGGGCCTTGCGCTCTTTCAGCTCGATCTCGGTTGCGGCTCCGACCTTGATGACGGCCACGCCGCCGGACAACTTGGCCATCCGCTCCTGCAGCTTCTCGCGGTCGTACTCGGAGGTGGTGTCTTCGATCTGGGCCTTGATCTGGCTGATGCGGGCCTGGATCGCTTCTTCCGAACCGTGGCCTTCGACGATGGTGGTGTCGTCCTTGGTGGAAGACACGCGACGGGCGCGGCCAAAGTCCTCGATGTGGCCGAATCCATTCGACGGCCGGTCTCCTCGCTGATGACGGTGCCGCCGGTCAGGATGGCAATGTCTTCCAGCATCGCCTTGCGGCGGTCGCCGAAGCCGGGCGCCTTGACGGCCAGCACGTTCATGATGCTGCGCAGCTTGTTGACGACCAGAGTGGCCAGCGCCTCGCCGTCCACGTCCTCAGCGACGATTACCACGTTCTTCTGGCCGGCTTGCAGCAGCTTTTCCAGGGCCGGCACCAGGTCGGCAACGGCAGAAACCTTCTTGTCGGTGATGATGAGGTAGGCATCTTCGATGACGGCTTCCATCCGCTCGGTGTTGGTGATGAAGTAAGGAGAGGTGTAGCCGCGGTCGACCTGCATCCCCTCGACGTACTCAATCTCATCGGTCAGTCCGCGGGACTCTTCCACGGTGATGACGCCGTCCTTGCCCACCTTCTCCATGGCCTCGGCGATGGTCTCGCCGATGGCGTCTTCATGGGCGGAGAGGGAGGCTACCTGTCCGATGCGCTCGCGGGTCTCCACCGGCTGGGACATCCCCTGCAGCTCGGTTACGATGCAAGCCACTGCGTGCTCGATGCCACGTTTGATGGCCATGGGGTTGGCGCCGGCGGTAACGTTCTTGAACCCTTCGTGGATGATGGCCTGGGACAGCACGATGCTGGTGGTGGTGCCGTCGCCGGCGGCGTCGTTGGTCTTGGTGGCGGCTTCTTTAAGAAGCTGCGCGCCCATGTTCTGGAAGGCGTCGGGCAGCTCGATCTCTTTGGCGATGGTCACGCCGTCGGAGCAGATAAGGGGGGGACCAAACTTCTTGTCCAGCACGACGTTGCGACCACGGGGGCCCAGGGTAATTTTGACCGAGTCGGCCAGAATGTCGATGCCGGTGCGCAGCGATTTGCGTGCGTCTTCAGCGTATACCAACTTCTTTGCGGGCATTGCGGGGTTCTCCTCGTCTTGGAGTGTGCGCTATTGGGGGTGGATTGGTGTGCGTACGATAGTTCAGGAGTTGGAACGGAACGGCTAGTCCAGTTTGGCCAGGACGTCGGATTCACGCATGATCAGGTACTCATCATCGTCGTCTTCATATTCGGTGCCGGCGTATTTGGAGTAGATGACTTTGTCGCCGATGGTAAGTTCCATGGCAATGCGGGAGCCGTCGTCAGCGACGCGGCCAGAGCCAACGGCAATGACCTCGCCCTCCTGGGGCTTTCCCTTGGCGGTGTCGGGGAGCAGGATGCCGCCCCGGGTTTGGGTTTCCTGTTCAATCGGCTTGATGACGATTCGCTCGCCTAACGGTGTGAAACTGGACACTGAGTGCCTCCCTGGGTTGGAATGTTGTGGTTGGTGGGTGATAAGTTTGGTCGGGTAGTGGACGATTGGCCATCCTGTGCCGACGGGGTTACTGCTTACGGGCTCGGTCCGTGGTGTAGAAACCTGAACTTTTCGCGGGACCTTGCCCGGAGCCCGTGTGGATGATCGGTACTGGGTGAAACTTCCGGCGCGCCACGCCGGAGCACTCGGGGGAATTCAGATCCTCAGGGCGCTTCGAGGCAGGGCTGCCGGATGCTCATGGCCCTATGAAGCGCACTGGTAGGCAAACCGGGGAGTCGCCGCCTCCCTCCGTCAAACACCCTGACGACCGACCGCTGCCGTTGTGTATCTATTGTTGCTGACCCCCGACGGTATGCCAATGGGCCTAACGTTGTATTTGCGTAGGAAATAGCCGGTTCGGTGGCGTCCTGTGAACGGTTTGAGAGTGCGTCATCTCCCGTGATGATCCGGCAACCAGACCTTGAGGCCAATGTTCAGGAGGTCGAAGACGGGGGCGGTCATTGGCGTGGCTGTTGCATCTGCTGCCCATCTTCAGCCTTCCGATGGCGGTGCGGGTGGAGTCCACCAGGGCCGGTTCCTCATTGAGTACCCATTGGCCCCTCAAGTCGCCATCTGCTGGGAAACGGGCCTTGTCGGCGAAGAATATCTTGGCTCCCGTCCGACGCGTCGCTGCCGTCAGCGCGATACTCCGCCGCAAAGGCATATCGCCGCACTGGGTCCGCCCTTGCGCTAACGTTTCTTGAACCGTTTCAGCACAAATCCCAAGCGGCGCGGGTAGTTCAGACAACCACCCCGGCTCAGCGCCAACCCGAAGCGGCGCCGCACATACCGGCGGGCCGCCTTCCAATTCCAGTTGGACGAGTCGATGCCTGCTTGCGACGGCAATTCCTGCGCCGCCGCCTTCAATTCGACCGGTTGCTCCCCGTCCAAGGCGGGCGGTGATGTTCGACAGGGCCGGCCCTCGCGAAAGCGGGGGGTCGATCTGGTCCACCACCTCGGAGATGAAGCAGGCCAGATCCTCATCCGGCAGCCACTCTCAAAGGGCCGCGGACAGCACCGACTGCTAGTCGGTATTGTAGGACAGGTAGGTCTTGCTCAACAGCCACTCCGCTCGGCAAACACTTCCCCATCATACCTCCGACACAAGGCCAACCCGCGTTTCTCGGAACCGTTGCCGGGCAGCTCCGTTTGCTGCTGATGCTTTTCGAGCGTGTCCGACCAACATCTGGCCGGTATGGGCTCGCGTACAATCGGTACCACCTATCCGTGGTTGGTGACCATCGCGCTACTAACGCACGCCCTTACCCAAGGACTAAAACCCGTGTTTCCTGCCAGCAATCCTGCAGAATCAAGTCACTTGAAGCCTTTTTGCACCAAGCCAGCTACGTCCAAGAATGCTATGGCGGTTGGTCTCATGATGCTTCGCCTTCAGCGAAGGATCACAACATCTACTTTTGATGTCCTTACAAGGCACGCTTATCGACAAGGCACGCTTATCGGAGAGAACGACCAAGTTTGCTTTCGAGGTTGGTTGGCCCGTCATGATGTGCCCGGTGAAGAGCAGACCCTTCTTCAGAGTTGTCAGGTTTCCATAGTTGGCAGACGCTAACTCCAGATGAGAAAGCATGGCCGGATCGAAGATGAACACCCGGTTGACGTTCCCGGTGCCAAGCCTGCCTCGTTTAGAAACGTAGCGCATCGTGGCGGCATCCTCTGACGCGATACTGAATGTGTTGAGCAACTCCCGGCGCAACTATTGCGAAAGCTCGTGAACTTGTTTGCCGAAAGGCCATAGCCCCATCGCTTTTCTCCCTCTTTTGCTTTCACATGTGAAAGAGGGGGAGCCGCATTCCACGCCTCCCCCTCTTTCTTCGCACGGGATCCTAGTATCTGCCCGTATTTGCCGATGTGCCCTGTCGTCTGAAGCAGTCGCTACAGTAAACCGGACGGTCGCCTCTGGGCTGGAAAGGCACCGTGGTGTCCTTGCCGCACTCGGCGCAAACGACCGGGTACATTTCCCGACCGCCTCTGTCGAAGCCGTCGTCGTTGCGCTGGGCTCGCTTGGCCTGGCGGCAGGCCGGACAACGCTTGGGCTCGTTGGTGTAGCCCTTTTCAGCGTGGTACGCCTGGTCATCAACGGTGAAGGTGAAGGATTGGCCGCACTCGTTACAGGAGAGGATTCGGTCCTCGTAAGTCATTCAAGACCCCTTTTCATTAGATAGTTGACAGGTAAACTGGGCCACCATGGTAAGAACCGCAATGGTACCCAAGAGGTCCAGTGGGGAACTGACGAGGAACCGGAGGGTGAGCAAGTAGCCAAGGAGCGAACGAGGGAACTTAGTGTCCCGTCACTGCGCATACTATACCACACTACCCAAACTGAAGCCGATTTGGCATGCACGTCGGTAGGCCGGTGAGAACCGGCTGGGGTGCTTCCGATCGATTCTACCATCGTGCCTGGAGCGCAGTTCCACATCTCCACTGGACTTCCTTCCGACGCTCGGCCAAGTGTGAGAGCAAGTCTTCCGCCGGCTCCTGCACCGCGATCCTGGTCCTCAAGCATGAGTTGGCGGTCACCTCCGGGCGTACCCAGCCCCAGAATGCTCATTTTGCGGGCGTAATAACGCCCGCAGTCCGCCTATTGTGGCAACCCGTGCGGTCAGAAGCGTTCCCGACGCGGTGACTCAAGCCATCGTTGTAATAGTGAAGGTGAGTCCATACTGAAACTCCATGGAATGCCGGAGTCAGCGCAAATCGGCAAACATAGTTGATGCGGGACAGCGGACCGCAAGTGCTAAAGTTCGGGTAACATTTCTCTGGGTAACATTCTCTGGGTAACATTTTCTGGGTAACATTTCTCAATGAGGCAACAGGACACTATCCGGGCGGTGAGGATGCAAAATTGACGACCATGATTGATATCGAGTTTCCCCATATTGCCCGTGAGCTTCACCTGGCCGGAGAGCAGGTGGAAGCCACGGTTGGATTGCTGGACGGCGGCGCTACGGTGCCCTTCATTGCGCGGTACCGTAAGGAGCATACCGGCAGCCTTGATGAGGTGGCGATCACCAGCATTCGGGACCGGTTGTCGCAGCTCCGGGAACTCAGGGATCGGCGGGAGGCAATCCTGGCTTCGCTGGAAAAGCGGGGTCTGCTGAGCGAGGAATTGCGGAAGGCCGTTCTCTCTGCCGCATCAATGGCAGTCCTGGAGGATACCTACCTGCCCTACCGGCCCAAGCGGCGCACCCGGGCCGCCATCGCAAGAGAAAGGGGACTGGAGTCCCTGGCGTTGCGCCTCTGGGGTCAAGGGGGATTTTGACGTTGCCATAGCCGCTGGCGAGTACGTCAATCCCCAAGCGGGTGTGGATAACGTTAAAGAGGCTCTGAGTGGAGCCAGGGACATAATCGCCGAGTGGGTCAGCGAAGACTCCACCGCGCGGCGGGCAATTCGGGAGCTGTTCTGGGCGCAGGGCACTATTTCCGCCACGGTGGCTTCAGGCAAGGATGCGGAGGCGGCCAAGTACCGGGATTACTTTGACTGGCAGGAACCGATCGCCAGCGCGCCTTCCCACCGGATCCTGGCTATGCTCCGAGGCGAGAAGGAATCACTGCTTTCGGTCCACATCGCGCCGCCGGTATCGTCAGCGACAGCGATCCTGGAGCGAATCTTTCGTCAGAGCAGAAACGGAGGCCGCGCAACAGATCGGGCTGGCCATTCGGGACCGCTACAAACCGTTGCTGGAATCCGCGATGGAAACGGAGGTCCGCAAGGCGGCCAGAGTTCGCGCCGAGGACACCGCCATCGGGGTATTCGCCGACAATATGCGGGAGTTGCTGCTGGCCCCGGCCCTGGGTCAGAAGAACATCCTGGCCCTGGATCCCCGGATTTCGCTCCGGCTGCAAATTGGTGTGTCTGGACCGGCAGGGCCATCTGCTGCACCACGATACCGTTTATCCGCTGCTCGGGGAACGGGGTGAGGAGGAATCCGCCAGGAAGATACTCCTGCTGTGTCGTCAGTACCGTATTGAAGCCATCGCCGTGGGCAACGGCACCGCCGGACGAGAGACCCAAGCCTTTCTGAGGACTCTGGAGTTGGACCCCCAAATTGCGGTGGTCATGGTCAACGAGAGCGGGGCCTCGGTCTACTCGGCATCGGAGGCAGCGCGAACTGAATTCCCGGACCAGGACATCACCGTTCGGGGGGCGGTCTCCATCGGTCGCCGCCTCATGGATCCCCTGGCCGAATTGGTCAAGATAGATCCCAAGTCCATCGGTGTGGGTCAGTACCAGCACGACGTTGATCAAAAGGCCTTGAAGCAACGTCTGGACGATGTGGTGGTCAGTTGCGTCAACCAGGTCGGGGTGGAACTGAACACCGCCAGCCGCGAGCTGCTTTCCTATGTTTCGGGTCTGGGGCCCCGTTTGGCCAATGCGATTGTGGAGTACCGGAACCTTAACGGCCCTTTCACCTCCCGTGACGCTCTGAAGAAAGTGCCGCGCCTGGGCCCCAAGGCTTTTGAACAGGCGGCTGGGTTTTTGCGCATCAGAGAGGGCGCCCAGCCGCTGGACGCCAGCGCGGTGCATCCCGAGTCCTACCCGGTGGTGGAAGCAATCGCCAGAGACCTGGGCCGTCCTCTGGACGAATTGCTGGGCGACGCTGCTATCGGCGGTCAGATTGATCCCAGTCGCTACGTCAGCGATCAGATCGGCCTGCCGACACTAAACGACATAATCGGAGAACTGGCCCGGCCGGGACGGGACCCCCGCCAAGAGTTTGAGCCGTTCGACTTCGCAGCAGGCGTCCACCGGATCGAGGACCTGACGGTCGGCATGAAATTGCCCGGAGTGATAACCAACGTGACCGGTTTCGGCGCCTTTGTCGATGTTGGCGTACACCAGGACGGGCTGGTCCACATCAGCCAGCTGGCTGAGGGGTTCGTCAGTAATCCCTCGGATGTCGTCAAAGTGCAACAGCGGGTGTGGGTGACGGTACTTGAGGTAGACCTCGAGCGCAAACGGATTGCCCTGTCTCTGAAGTGATCGGTGTCCGCATTGCCTCGAATCCCCGACAACAGGAAACCGTCCGCGGGCATAGTCTGCGGCGCAGCCTCGACCTGCTGAAACCGCCGCTCCCACAGTTTCCCCGACACCCGAGGCTGGCGCGGTTCCCACAGTCCTCCTGGTTCTGGCGATGGCCGAGGTGTCGGCCAAGTTGCCGTTCTACAGCCGAGACGACTGGCTCCCCTCGTCGACCGCTTCTGATAGCATCTTGAAATCGCCGGCCACCTCGATGTCATCTTCCCCCTCGAAGTAGTACCGCAATCCGGCGCGTTGGTGGTTGTTCTCGTCCACGTTTAGCGGGCTAATGTGCGCTGATGATGCTGTCAAGGGCGGCAGTGTGTACTTCGGGTTTCTCCTTGGTTTCGGTTGAGGAGCAGAAATCTCCCTCCTCCATGTGTCGAGGTTCCTGGGCGCACGCCACTGCGCCCAGTTTCGAGACAGCCTCTGAGTAGTCTGTCAGTTTCCGAGGAGCAGCCCTCCCACGTCAGTGTCGAGTACCACCCCCTGAGCGATGATTGTCTCACCGTCCCGTCGAATTCCAGTGATTGGATACCTCTCCCCACTGTTATAACCGTGGAGGTCTTGTCCAGTCATCTGGGACTCTGCTCGTTCCGCCTCGACTGTGTTGGCAAACTCAAAATAGAGATGCAGGGTTGAGGTGTCGCCTTCATTCATCATTCCCGCGACGGCAGTGAACCTCGGACGCGGGAAGCCGCTCCGGGCTTCCTCGGTTTCCGGATACCGCGCTACCTGAAAGTCAATGGGACCCGTTTCCATCAAGAGACGCGCCAGGGTCTCATCGAGCTCGGCGCCATCCAGTCTCCGGTCTATGGTTTCTTCGAGTAACTGCCGGGGCAATGATCCGTCGCCTTGTGCCAGCAGCAGTGTGTCGGAGTCCGGCACAGCCAGGTACAGGTCGTAATGGTCCGTGAACGCAAACAATTCCAGTTCCCGATAGGTATAGAGAGTCGCCGCGCCCGTCGCGGCCGCCTCGCGAAGGACCTCCGGGAAGGTGCTGAAATCCCCGAGAAGAATCGCGACGCCTTCCACACTGCTGTTGACGCTAAATGCTGCGCTCGTGATTCCTGCTGACTTGACCAATGGGAAGTCGAGGACTTCGTTGGTGGCATTGACCAGCAGCAATAACTTGTCCTCCCAAGCATAGTCGTATTGGCTTGCCCGTTGAGATATTTTCCCGAATTCCACGAACCAGACTTGCGAGCGGTCTGTGGGAAGCCAGGCCAGCAGCATGGCAACGTTGTCCAGAGAACCCGCGGGGACAGACGTACTTGTTGGCATGGCCGGCGCCGGAGTGCCGGTTGGTGACAATGCTGCCGGTGTGGCTGCGGGGGACTGACAGCCCAAGACCGCGGCCAGCATCAGGGCCGCCAGGATGCGGGGCCCGAGAAAGGTGGCGATTGGACTGCGCAAGTTCTTCAAAAGGTCTCCGACTAATTGCTTCAAGGGCTTCAGTGATCAGATCCTATCTCGATACTCCAGCCGTCCGTTGTTGGATGAGCCGCCGCCAGCGAAGGTGTCATGATAACCCACATGACAGCTGGAGCAGTCCCAGATAGTTATCGGCCTTCCGTAGTACCGCACCGAAAGAGCGGGCATCGTGTCTTGCCGCGCTAGGTATGGAGCGGCGACATGCGGCTCCTGAAAAATGGATAACCCTGACCTGGCAAGGCGATGACCGACTGGAACCGCAAACGATGGGACATCTAGCGGACACCGGCCGGCCCGCATTTACCAGCGACATACCGACGCCACGATGTTGTGCCCGTTCTGCAAGGCCGCCGACGCGTGAAAATGCCTCAACACCCTGGCAATCAAACCCGACACGCCCAACAACTCACCCCGCCGCGCCAGCTTTTTGCGGATCCCGGCCCACATCCACCGTCAGCTCCTAAGCACCGCTGCCCGGCCGACGTATGCTGCCACCCATAAATAAGCCCCCAAAATCCGCGCCCGGACAGAACGGGCAAATCGAACCATAACAATGTGGGACGATTGCCGTCCAACTTGGCGCAATACGTCGTCCCTGACACGGGGTACGCCGATTGGTCCCTCGTCACTTACTCTAGCCTCGGTGCTTGCTAACGGGCAACGCCCCACCTGTTACTGGGCGCGGTGATTTCGCCACCGGTCAGCCACACCACCCGAATCGGGAACAGAGCGCTGGCAGGATTTTTTGGATGGTTGAATGGAGCGGTTCGGCTTCCGAGCGTCGCAAGTTCAACCGCTAGCGACCTTCCCCCGAGAACGGTAGAATCGGTATTCAAGCCGAAGAAAGTTGAGAGAGACTCGGCTTCAACCGATCCAAGTGGGCCTGGCGCATTGGGGTGAGCGCCAGAACCATCCATAGTTGGGAGGGGGCAGCACCGTTCCCCAAGATGTTCGGTTGGAGCGGCGAGCCGACGGCTCGAGATAGGGGGTTCGCGCCCAGGTGTGTGGTCTGGCAAGGCTGGCCGTCAGCAGCGTTAAAGGTCGTTGAGAACTCAACTGGACCGTGGTGTTGGGGCTCCGCAGCCCATGCCATCGCACTGGCCACGCCTAACTTTGCGTCGGCGTAAGTGCGGATGGGGAGCTTCTGAGGCTCCTCCAACGACGGTCCAGGCGACGCGGATCCAACGCCGGGCAGCGCGGGCGCCCCTACTAACCCCCTGGCTCCACGCCTTGCGTAGACATTCCCGGCTAAACGGCCTCCCGGCGCGGATGCAAAAGTTAACTTGATGCCGAATCGCTGCGGGCATTGTTGCACCGACTTGGGCGACTCCTTAAGCATCGGATTCATGCCAGACTTAAACACGTGGTCGAACGGTGAACACGCTTATCGCCGCAGTCAGCCCGGGGATGTCGTATTCTCCGAAGAATCGACGACCGGTGCGCGACATGGGGGTAGGACGCCAGGAGACCTCGGGGGATACCGTAGCTCAGGCGGTGCGCCGGTATACACGAAGCCAGTACCTTACTGGGAGCATCGTATCCCGGCTTCGTATCCCGGCATCCTACCCCGCCGCCACACCATCAGTCAGTATCACTCCCGAATCCAGCAAGGTTTGGTAACGGCTCCCCAAGCCATGTTCTTCCAGAATCTCCCGGGGCGTGGGAACCAGGTTTGGGGGCGGGTATGCCCGGGCGCACCGGGGTGCGCGACAGTCGCGGCGCGGGACCGCAAGTAGTCACCATTCCCAACTCGTCGTGCTCCCGGGTAACGCTAAGTCCGTGGGACACCACCCAGGGGTCGGTCATCAGCTCCCTGACGTTGGTGACGACCCGCTGCGCGCCGATGCCGGCGGCGGCCAGTCGCTCCACCCAGAACGCCACGCTGTTCCCCTGGAACCGCTCTTCCAGCGAAGAAGCCAGGGCATCTCCCCGAAGGGAGTCTATTCCAGACAGTCCCTCCAAGCCTGACAGCCTTGATAGGGCCAATGCCGGAACTCCTATAAAGAACCAGCCGTCACTGGCCTGGTAGGCCCGATGCAACGGGCCGGTACCCAGGGCGTCCTGCCCGCTGGTCTCGTTCCACTGCTTTCCCTCGTAAAGCTGCATGAAGGGCGATTGCAGCGTCATGGCCGTGTAGGCCAGGGCTGAGTCTATGTGCTGGCCCTCTCCGGTGCGCTGCCGGTGCAGCAGGGCCAGGGCCACCCCATAGGCGCCCATGAAACCCGTGCCGTAGTCGTTCACCGGGTTGGGCTGCGACTCGGGCATACCATCACCGCCGAAACGACGGGTCATCCCGGCAGTGGCCTGGGCAAACCCCTCGTGACCGGGGCGCTCCGCCCAGGGGCCGATGTGCCCGTAAGCGTTCAATGAAGCGTAGATTATGTCGGGCTTGCGCTTTCTCACCTCTTCGTATCCCAGGCCCAGCCTCTCCAGGCTGCCGGCGCGATAGTTCTGGGCCACCACGTCGGCATCCTCCAGCAACTTCCAGAAAACGTCGCGCCCCTCTTCAGATTTCAGGTCCAACAGGATACTGCGCTTGCCCCGGTTGATGTCGTTATGCCGGGCCACGGTGGAGCCGCGGCTGGGGTTATCTATCTTGATAACATTGGCCCCGTACTCGGCCAGCGTCCGGCCCATGGTGGGCCGGCCAAGATTATGCACAGGTCCAGCACCTTCACCCCGTCAAGGGCGGAACTCATGGCGTCCTGGTGCGCCGGCGCCTCGGAAGCGGGGCGAGGTTTCAACTCCGCGAGAATTTCTCCCCGATGCTGGTCGAGAGTGGGGGCCGGACCGCGCACCCTGCCCGGTGTCAAAGACATCCGGGCGTTGATTCCCGGCTGTAGCATCTTGCCGTAGGTGGGGTCGTCAACCTCCACCACCATCTGGGAGGCTCGGGCGTGGGGATGGTCAAACCACTCGGCGCTGGTGCGGCAGACCGCCCCCTCGCTGCCCGCCTCGGCGATCAGGTCTTCCCATTCCTGTGCAGTACGAGTCAAAAAGAGTTCCCGAATCCGTTGCTGGGCCTCGGCGCGGAATTGGGGGACGTCCAGGGGGCGGTCGAAGTCGGTAAGGCCCTCGTCATCCCACGATGTAATCCCGGCGGCTTCAACAAACGGCCGGAAGTTCTGGTTGCCGGAGCCGCCGAATCGCACGTACTGGCCGTCGCTGCACTGGAAGATGCCGCCCCACAACTCCTGCAGCGTCGGAATCGCCGGCGGAGCGTTGTGCACCCGCACTCCGAAACGCCCCAGGGACTGGAACATGCTGTCAAAAAGGGGGACTTCAATACGTTGCCCCACGCCATGGCGCTCCCGGGCGTTCAGGGCCACGACGATGGCCACTACCGACTGGAAGGCCCCATAGACCGAGGCGATGGGAATGGCCGTATAGACCGGACGCGGGCTATCGGCGTTGGGCGGGCGGAAGGTGGCCGACGCCGCTCCCACAACTCCTTCGTAAGCCGGAATGGCCGCTCTGGGATCGTCGGACGCAAATCCCGGAATGGAGCAGTAAACCAGGCGGGGGTTGGCCCGAGTCATCTCCTCGGGTCCCAGCCTCAATCGGTCCATGGTCCCGGGCCGGAAGTTCTCGACCACCACATCGGCGCTCTGCATGAGGGACCGGGCAATGGCCGAGTCATCCGCCCGCTTGAGGTCCAGGGTTATGCTCCGCTTGCCTCGGTTCCACGTTGAGTTGGCCGGGGTCTTCCAGCGGGGTCCGCCGGGAGGGTCAACCCGGATAACGTCGGCACCCTGATCCGCCAGCAACATTCCCGCCAAGGGCCCGGAAACATACTGCCCGAAGTCAATTACCCGAATGTGTTCCAGTGCTCCTGCGATGTCCGGCCCCTCCCCCTGATTGGCTAAAAAGATTAGCTTCGTGGACAAAGCGCAGGCTAACACTGCGGGTATGAGCGGTCAACCGCCGGCGTCGGAACACGGTGACATCACATCCGTGGCGACAAGTCCTTTCACTATCTCGCCTGGCATCCCAAAATTGACCCTCTCGGTCTGGGTTACTATAATGGGCAGAGTCCACAGCAGTAGCGGGTCTTTGCCCAGGCAACGGAAACCGTGACTGCTAGGTTCACAGCGTACGTGAGGAGGACTTTCATGGTTGAACAGCAGGCAGCGGTGCTGAGCCCGGAAACTCTGATAGAGGAGTTCCACAAGAACGGTGTCACCCATGTGGTGACCATTCCTGACAGCGAGACCAACTACCTGTACGAGTTGATGCAGAACCAGCCTTGGCTGGAAATCGTCCCTGCCTCCCGGGAAGGTGAGACCTTCGCCATCGCCCTGGGGCTGATAATCGGTGGCAAGACCCCGGTGTGCCTGATTCAGAACACGGGCATGATGGAATCGGGCGACTCCATTCGGGGTATGGCCCTGGACTCCGGGTTCCCGCTGGTAATGGTGGTGGGCTATCGTGGCTGGAACCGCCACGGCGTTATAACCGACTCGGTGGCCCGCTACACCGAGCCGTTCCTGAACGCCTATCGCATCAACTACTACCTGGTGGAGCAGGATGCCGACAGTTCGCGCATCTCCGTGGCCTTCGAGGAGGCCCGGACCACCAAGCGGCCAGTTGCTATCCTGGTGGGCGACGAATACCACGGGTTCAACCGCTAGACGGATAACCCTTCGCCAAAAATTATTGCTCTATCGGTGCCCCTACCACGTGCGTTCCGTCATCCTGGGCTGGGGACGGGGTACGGAGCAAAAAAGATCCACGCAACGGAGGCAAAGAATGATTCATTCCCAGGAGGTATTCCGAGTATTCCAAGAGTACCGGGGCGATGCCATCGTGATTCCCACCGGCACTTCCGGTCGGCACTGGCGGGAATTCAGCACCAACGAGAACCGGGACATGAACTGGGAGGCGCAATGGGCCAGACCACTTCGGCGGCCTGGGACTGGCCTTGGGACTGCCTGATGAAAAGGTGGTGCTGTTCGATTCCGAAGGCGCGCTGCTGATGAACCTAGGGATACTGGCTACTATTGCCGGCAAGATGCCGAAAAACTTCTGCCACATTTTGTTGGACAATGAGTGCTACGCTACCACTGGAGGGCAGCCGGTTCCCAACGCGCAGGAGATTAACTACGCCGGTGTAGCCAAAGAAGCCGGTTATTCCTCTGCCTACAGCTTCGACGACCTGGAAGAATTCGCCACCAATGTGGAGCAAATAATGCAGGATACCGGCCCGGTATTCGTCGCCATCAAAGTTGTGCCGGAGGTAGAGAACGAGCCAATAGGTATGCGGGAGCGTGTCCCTACCCGTAGCCGCGCCGAGACCATCCGGGACTTGCAGACGGAATTGGGCATTAGCGCCGGTTGACCTTCGCGGCCGTCCACCTATTATGAGATTACAGGGGCGCACAATGTGCGCCCCTGAGTCGTGCCGCGCGGCCTGTATAGCGTCCAATCCGGGCTACGCCAGCGTCAGCAGCCCCACGTAGCAAAGCATTGCGCGGGTGAGCATTCCCGCCTGCAACTCTCCTTGCCCCTCGGCGACTTCGTCAACCCTAGCCAGTATTGGCGCCGGGATGACGATATTAACCTGCACCGGCTTGGCCGAAAGCTTGGAAAGGTCGACATCTACCAAAGCTCAAATGCCGCCGGCGTAGTCATGGTTAGCTCGGTGCGCTTAAATGGGCGTCTGCTCTGTAATGAGCTGAACATCATGGACCGCAGTTTCGACCACTTGGTGTTCTCCAAGAACAATCAGCGGCTATTGGACGCCGACATGGCGCGGGAGTTTCTGCTGGCAATAGTGGAGCAGGCTCGGGAGCAGCCGCTGCTGTCGGAGGAGCATTTCAGTCTGGACGGCACATTTCTGGAAGCCTGGGCATCGGTGAAGAGTTTCCGGCCGCGGGATGAAGACCCTCCGTCGGGGGACGGTTCGGTGAGGGTGGGGGACGCAATCGGGAGGTGGACTTTCGCGGGGGAGCGGCGGCGCAATGAGACCCATCGGTCCACCACCGACCCCAATGCCCGGCTGGCCAGGAAGGGTAAGAGCAAGGAAGCGCGCCTTTGTTTCGGCGCCCACGTGCTAATGGACAATCGGGAGGGTCTGGTGGTGGACGTGCGCTACACCCCAGCCGACGGCGCCTGGGAACGGGACGCCGCGTTGGAGATGCTGGCGTCGTCGCCGAGTGCCCGGCGCATCACTGTGGGCGCCGACCATGGCTACGATACCAGGGGTTTCATCAAGGGATGCCGCAACCTGAAGGTAACGCCCCATGTTGCACCGACAGCCGGCCAGTCCGCGAAGCACCACGACAACGGCACCGGCATCGCTGCGACGCTGCTGACTGGGCAGCAACTGCAGGGTGTGCCACTGGAATTTCACGGTGTTGCCCCTGGCCACTCTTCTGCGATGCTTGAAGCACAGGATTTGCTCCAGGCGTAAACCCGGCGGCAAGGGCTGGAATGCCGGATCAGGACACTGGGCGGGCACCCGAAAACGCCGGTTGAACCGCGGCAGGAACTGCTTCAATACGGCCTTAGCTTGTTCAATCGTGGTTGCTCCGGCGAGCCGCAGTTCCGTGATCAGGCGGTCCTGGAAGGTTCCCGCCGTCCGCTCCGCACGCCCTTTCGCCTGCGGAGACAGGGCGAATATCAGTTGTATCCCCAGTTCTCCCATTGCTCGTCCGAACTGGGTTAGCGCGCCGGCGGGCTGATATTCCGCCCGGTGTTTGAAGACCGGGTGGCGGTCAGTGTATAGAGCGAGAGGAATGCCGCAGCGTCGCAGCAGGCCCCGCATCAGCAGCAGGTAGTTGTGGCTGTCCTCCTGATCGCAGAACCGGGCGTTGACCACACAGCCGGTGGCGTCGTCCACCGCCAGCAGCAACGTGAATGGCGGGCTGTATTCGCCCAGGCACCGGTGATAACTGGCGTCCGACTGGATCAGCACGCCGTCCCGAGGCATGCGTTGGCGACGTACCCGGTGCTTGGGCGGACGCCTTCGCCGCGGACTGCTCATTCCGGCCTTCGCGAGGAGGCGTCGCAGGGTGGTCCGGCCAATGTAGATTCCTTCCCGTTCCCCCAGCAACTCGTTGAGATGGGCGTGGTTGGCTCCCACGCATCTGGTCTGGGCCAGGTGCGGCACGTCGGCGATCACTGCCTCGGGTGTGGCATTGGGTGGCTTGCGGCCCGTGTGGCCGTGGGCCAGGGCGGCGGCTCCGCTCTCCTGGTAAGTCGCCAGCATGGGTCGTGCGTGCCGTGGGCACGCACCCATCAACTCGGCCGACTGATCCGACGTATTCTGCTCAGTCAGCAGACTGTTCAAAACCTGTAGCCTGGCCAGTTCTTTCGGAGTCAATGACACATTCTCCATAATGCGACATTCTCGCTTGCCAGTCAGTCAGGACCATTTCGCTGAACGTCTACACCCCAGTGGTACGTTTTCGCGCCGCCCTTGACATCACCGGGCTTGAGGGTGACCGCATCGTCGGAGATTTCCAGATCGAATTCGCCACAGGGCGGCAGCACCCAGTAAATGTAGTGGCTTAAATTGACACTACATGGTGGTGATCAAGCCGCGGAAGAATGGCGACCCGAGGGCACAAAGGGATGAGTGATGTTCGTCAGCATCGCGTTCTTCGGAAACGCCGCGGCCCTCTGCGGCGCTTTTGTACTGTAGCCTAACGCAGGTTTCCGCGGTCAGTTATCGCAGACAACCCCGTCCCTGTCGGCGTTTCTGGCGCTGGGTACTATCCACTTCGGGAACCCGCGTCCGTTGCCCTTGCTCCCTTGAATCTGAGATTCTCCTGCGGCCTGAGCCGCGACGCTGGACGCCGTGCCCTTCACGGTGTACAACGCCCCCGCCTGAATGCCCGGCCCTGACCTTCGGGCAACGGGCGTGGAAGGGGGCATCAATTCCCCGGGTTCTCACGATGGCTCTTGGCGGCTCGTTGTGTAGTCCCCTGCCGCAGGTCAGACCCGGCGAAGCTTCGGGTCCAGGTAGTCGCGCAGCCAGTCGCCGAGGAAGTTGAACGCCATCACCACTACGGTTATTGCCACGCCGGGGAAAAGGGACAACCACCACATATCCAGGATGACGTTACGCCCCTCGGCTACCATGATGCCCCAGGCCGGCGACCCCGGGGCCAATCCCAACCCCAGGAAACTCAGGGAGGCTTCAAGCAGAATCACCTGTCCCACCTGAATGCTGGTCAGCACCATCAAAGTATTGACCACGTTGGGGAAAACATGCCGGATAATGACTACCGGAGGGCTGACCCCGGCGATTTTGGCCAGAATTACGTAGTCTCGTTCCCTGATGCTCAGGGTATCGCCCCGTATCATCCGGGCGAACCTGGCCCACACGGTGACTGCCACCGCGATGATGATATTCTCCGTGCCCTGGCCCAGCAGTACCACGATGACCAAGGCTACCAGGATAGTAGGGAATCCCATCACGGCGTCGGCGATACGCATGATGACTGCGCCAATCACGCCCCCCAGGTATCCGGAAATTAGTCCCAGAACGGTGCCCACGATGGCCCCGGTAGCCAGGGCTACCAGACTGATGTAAACAGTGGTTCGGGCACCGAAGATCATCCGACTCAACATATCCCGGCCCAGGATGTCGGTACCCAGCAGGTACTCGCTGTTCTGACCCGGGGGGATGCGGCTGTTGATGATGTCCTTGTCGTTGGGGTCGTGAGGGGACAACTGCGGCGCTAACGCAGAGCACACCAGCAGAATGGCCAGGATCACTATGGGTATCCAAGGCAGCTTGGACCTGCTGATCCGCTGTTGTAGTTGACCGAGTCGACTTTCTTTGGTTATTGCCGTTTGCGCCATTTCCAGTTCTCCCTCGCTTTACTCGATCCTGATTCTCGGGTCCACGTACACATAGAGGATGTCCACCAAAAGGGATGTGATTATGAAGAAGAAACCCGAGGTGAGCACGGTGGCTTCTACGATGGGGAAATTGCGTTGCGCCACTCCCTCCAGCATCAAGCGCCCCACGCCGGGCCAGGCGAACACGACCTCCACCACAATGGCCCCATTGAGCAGCCCCGCCAGGCTGATGCCTCCGAAGGTTATCAAGGGAATCAGAGCGTTTCTCAGGGCATGTTTCCAGATGACCAACTTCTCCGTCAGTCCCTTAACGCGGGCGAACTTGACAAACTCGCTGTCCAGCACCTCCAGCATGCTCGAGCGCGCCAAACGCATCATGCCGGCCATTATGGACCAAGCCAGCACGAAGGCCGGCAGCACGAAGTGGTCCGGCCCTCCCCGGCCGTAGGTCGGCAACCATTGGAGGATAGCGCCAAACAGCAGGATGAGCATGATGGCTACCCAGAATTGCGGAGCGCCGATGCCGGCGATGGCAAACAGTTTGCAGGCCTTGTCCAGAACCGAGTCCCGCTTGACCGCGGACAGGATGCCCAGGGGCACCCCCATCGCTATCGCCAAGAGCATTCCCACCGCCGCTAACTGGAGGGTGGCGGGAATTCGCTCCAGCAGTACGTCCCGGGCCGGACGCCGGGTGGTGATGGACTGACCAAAGTCGCCCTGCACCGCTTTAAAGAGAAAGGTGCCGTACTGAACGAGGATCGGCCGGTCCAGGCCCAGGTTCTCCCGCAGCTGTTCGTAGTCGGCTGTGGTCGCCTCCGGCGGCAACAGCAACAGGGCCGGGTCACCGGACAGGTGGACGCTCATAAAGACGATCAGACTGAGGACGAGCAGGGCGAGCAGCCCCTGGAATAGCCTGGACAGTATGTAACGCTGCATGTGCTTCTCTTACCTTTGTTGTATATCCAATCCTTCGCCGGCCCCACCGTGCGTTGGGTTAGGCCGGCGCTCAGGGAACGACCCGAGTGTACCAACCATCGGCATGAGTCCCGCTGGTCAACTTAGTGGTCCCGGGATCCACTGGCGTGAATGCCGGGACCATCGGAGTCGCCAACAACCTTGCCTCCGGTGGCCGGTGGAGGTTTCAGTCCTACTGATTCAGGGTCACCGTCCACAGGGCTGTGGGATACGGTCCCAGGGGCCAGGGCTGATAGGTATTGATGCGCTTGCTCAAGCCGAGGGGCAGGTTAGTGTATGTGGTGCTGAAGGAATAGTGTTCCTCCCACGACGCCAAGTACATCTTGTTGTAGGCGTCGTGGCGCAGGGCCGGGTCCATAACCGATAGCCCTTCGTCCGCTATTCTGGCCAGCTCAGGATCTTCCGACTGGCGCAGGCTGGAGTCCAGGTAGTGCATGCTGCGTACCAGGCTGCCGCCGTCCCAGCGGCCCTCGTTGCTGCGGAAGTAAACGTGGCCATCCAGTTCACGGTTGCGCACCCGCTCCCGGATACTGACGTTCTGGCCCGCTTCCACCGTCACGTCGAGCCCCAGATTATCCTGCCACATCTGGGCTATCAGCTCCGCGTGTTCCACCATGAACGGCGTATCGCTGGCCTGCCAGGTGTAGAGGGTGAAGGGAGGATAACCCTCGCCACCGGGGTAACCGGCCGCGGCCAGTAGCTCCCTGGCCCGATCCGGGTCGTAGGGGGTGGCGTCCAATTCCGGGCTGTAGCCCAGGGTGCTGGGGGTCACCGCCTCGAAGCCGGCCAGACCGGCCCCTTCGGTGCCGCCGTAGAGATTGTCCCGTATCAGCTCCTTGTCGATGGCGTAGTCCAGGGCATAGCGCACCCGCTTGTCGTTACAGGGAAGGCCCGGTATCCAACATCCAATGGGGCGTACCTGGGTGTAGGATCCTTCCTGAATCCAGACGTACCGACCACCGGCAGCCTCCACCCTCGGCCTCGACTGGAGGGTCACTTCAACGATGTCGGCCTCTCCGGCGATCAGGGCGGCAACCCTGGTGGACTCCTCGGGCACCAGCCGCATATCCAGTGTCTTGAACTTCATGCGCCGGTCTTCGGGGAAACCGTTGTCCGGGTTGTAGTAGTAGTCCGGGAATTGCTCGAACAGCAACTGCTCAGACCGCTTGAATTCAACAAGCCGGAAGGGACCGGCGCCGATGGGAGCGTCGGCGTAGCCATCCTCGCCCACCTCTTCATGATAGTTCTGGGGCAGGATCGAGCCGCCGTCGGACGAGGACTGCAGAGCGGAATAGGTGAAGGGGAAGGACGACGAGAGCTTGTTATGGGTGACCTCAATGGTCTCAGGCCCGGTGATTTCGATTCTATCCGTCAAGCGGGACCAGTTGATGGCGCCGGTGCTGGTTGCCTCGTCTTCGGCCTCTTTGCCAAAGTAACGCTGGAAGCTGAATTCAACGTCGTTGATGGTTACCGGCTCCCCGTTGTGGAAGGTCGCCGCGCTATCGGCGGGTATGGTCAGGCTCCAGGTGAACCCATCCTCAGAAACTTCCCAAGCCGAGGCTATGCCCGGGACCATCTGGGTATCGTAGTTGCCCTCAATCACCAGGCCGTGCAGAGCGCGTTGGTAGGTGGTTTCCCCCAAGCCCAGGGTGTACCTTGGCTCAAAAGCCTCAGTACCGAACACCGTCTGCATTATGGTCACTGTGCCGGACACTTCCGCTGATGCGGGGGAAGCCGCCGTTGTCTCGGCAGCCACGGTGGCGGCCGGGGCGCTGGAAGCATCGGATACTGGCGCAGCCGGAGCCGTCGCAGCCGGAACTGTGGTCGCGGCCGGAGCATCAGGTGTTGCCCCTCCGCCACATGCCGCTATAATCAAGGTGCAGATGCCCAAAAGAGCACCAAACCAGATGTTGGAATGAAACCTCTTCCGGATATACATAGTAGTTCCTCTCTTGTGTCAGTTTTGACCTATCAGGATGCCTTAATATGACGTGGCTATATGCGCGCCGGGCGCTGTTGCGGGGCAGGCTGCGCACATTGTCTGGGTCCCATATCGACCACACCTTCCACTAGCCGTGCCTGGAGCGTTTATCGATTTAGGGCTGTTAATGTTCTCCTTCGGCCTGGCATTGTTATTCATACCCGTTGGAGTGTGTCGTGCTTCTTGCAGCGGCAGGCCTGTTTACATGCTGGCGTACATTGACGTCTCGCTGTTCCTCTCTCTGGCGATCAGTTTCGATCATTTCCAACCAGGAACCCGGAAATCCCTGGTAGCATGTTTGGGGCCGATTGTACACCTATTCCGCCGGGACCTCGGGATATCGAAAAGCTTCTGACCGGAATCATTGCTCCCCACTGCGGTGTTACGGGTCTTCGTCGTAACCTCAATGCCCAGTGTAGACGATAGCACGATAGCAACGCATGAGTCACGGGCGTGGCCGCCGACAAACCACATTACCAAACAGATACTGCGGAGCAGGTGCATGATCTGTGATGGCTTTCTGTCTGCCTTGGGGGACTCGGTGATGGTGTATGGTATACTAGGGCCCTGGGCGATCCTTTCTGGGAGGATTCCTTTACCCGTGGGCTTTGCTTGGGACTGTGGGCTACTTCAGCGTCACCGTCCAGAGAGCGCTGGCATAGGGACCCAGAGGCCACGGTTCCCAGGTGGCGATGCGTTCGCTGACGGCCCAGGGCAGGTTGACGTATATGGGGCTCCAGTAGTAGTGCTCTTCCCAGATGGCGCGGTAGGCCCGGTTGTAGGCATCTTGCCGTAGGGCCGGGTCCAACACCGCCAGGAATTCGTTGACAATGGCGAATAACTCCGGCCCTTCCATCAGCCGATTGGGGTTCTCCGGGTCGGTGGCGCTGCGCATCAGGCTCCCACCATCGAACCTGGCCTCGTTGCTGCGGAAGTAGATGTCGCCGTCCAGTTCTCGGTCTCTGGCCTGCTGCCGGACGGAGGTGGGTCGCCCACAACCACCGTAACATCAAGACCAAGATTGTCCTTCCACATCTCGGCTATTAACTCGGCCTGCTCGGGTTGAAGCGGCACATCGCCGCCGTTCCAGGTATGCATCTTGAAGGGAGGGAAACCTTCGCCGCCGGGGAAACCAGCCGCAGCCAGGAGATCCCTGGCCTGATCTGGGTCGAAGGGAAGGGAATCGAGTTCAGGGCTGTAACCCAAGGCGTTGGGAGTGGCAGCCTCGAATCCGCCTACCTGGGCGACCTCGGTGCCGCCATAGAGCGCGTCCCGGATCAATTCTTTGTCTACGGCATAGTCCAAGGCGTAACGCACCCGCTTGTCGCTGCAGGGAAGTTCCGGCTTCCAGCAGCCCATGGGCCTGACCTGGGAGTAGGAGGCTTCGGGGATGAAGACCAAGCGGCCTCCCGCAGCCTCTACCTGGCTGCGGGCGTTCAGGCTGGCTTCGGTCATATCCGCCTGGCCGGCTCGCAGCGCTGAAATCCTGGTGGATTCTTCGGTCACCAGCCGCACGTCCATGGTCTGGAACTTCATTCTTCGGTCTTCGTGGAAGCCGTTATCCGGCGTGAAGTAGTAGTCGTCGAAACGCTCGAAGAGCATTTGCTCTGATGGCTTGAAGTCAACCAGCATGAGGGGGCCGGCCCCCACCGGCTTGGCCTCCCATTCCTGCTTGCTCCCACCGATTCCCAGTAGTTCTTCGGCAGGACGGCGCCGTGGGCGTCGGATGAATGAAGCTGCGACAACAGGAAGGGATAGGTGGAGTTGGGTTCGGTCTGGGTCACCATAAGGTTTGGACGGTATCTCCTGGCTCACGTTCATCTTGAGTGGCTGATGAAAACCGAGTGTATGGCGTTCTCAGCCGCCTCGGGGCCGTGGTGCCGGTCCAGGGTGAATTGAATATCGTCAATGGTCAGGTCGTCGCCGTTGTGGAATTTGACGCCGTTGCGAATGGTCCAAGTCCACTGGAGGCCGTCCTCCGACAGTTCCCACTTTTCGGCAATACCCGGGATCATTTCGGTATTCTCGTTACCCGCAATCAGCCACCCGTGCAACATTCGGTGCTGCGTCATTATCTGGCCCGAGGCGTCCCGGGGTTCAAAAGCCTGGGTGCCCCAGTCGGAGGCCATCAAAGTACCGTCCCTGAGGCCACATCCGCCTCGCCCTGCGTTGACCCCGCCGGTGCGGGCACAGCCGTGGCGACGCTGGAATCTTGCGTGACCGGTGCGGAAGTGGCGACCTGAGCCGCCGGGTCGGAGGCTTCGTCGGGGCTGGAACTGGAGCACCCTATAAAAAAGATCAGTGCAGTGGCAAGTAACGTACAGATAATGACATTACGGCCTGATAGTATTCCGAGATTTGGCATACTCGCTCCCTACCTGGGATATTCCGACGTTCGTTGTGAAACGCTATAACGGCCCAGGATCAGTAAAATGTTATCAGGATATCCTTACAGATTAAGTATTATCCAGCGCGACTTTACTATGAACCCCCTGATCCGTCAATACAATGTACTCGTTCGGTACATACGAGAAGGAAGGGCCAGTTGGAGGTGGCGGTGCAATATACTCGGCTGGGGTACGTCCGTCCAACGACTGGTGGGGACGGAGCCGCCGGACCTCACGCCGCAGGTGTTGGCGTCGCCGACGCTGACTTAGTACTACAGTCGCAGATTTACAGGCGTCGTTTGTTAATGGCATTGGCGCGGGCTCTGGCTTGGTTGGCGCCGTCCCACCACACCGAGCGACATGACATCAGGCAGTTGATTTTCCTTTCCGTCCATACAAGTCGGGTGAGCAGCCGGGCGCCCTCCGGCCGTTTGGAATCAGCTCTGTCATCGGGATCGTACAGCCCCCCTTTCTCCTGGTTC